CATTCTGCAGAGGCTCACACACAGATGTCCCTCTCCCTTTCAATAGCAAGTCAAGCCTGAAGGACCCCACAGGACAGAAGTCCTGCCTTGGGCAGCAGCAACAGCCCCTACTCACAGATCCCAGCGAGTCCTGCCCTGGGCAGCAGGAACAGGAACAGCCCCTACTCACAGATCCCAGCGAGTCCTGCCCTGGGCAGCAGGAACAGGAACAGCCCCTACTCACAGATCCCAGCGAGTCCTGCCCTGGGCAGCAGGAACAGGAACAGCCCCTACTCACAGATCCCAGCGAGTCCTGCCCTGGGCAGCAGCAGGAACAGGAACAGCCCCTACTCACAGATCCCAACAAGTCCTGCCCTGGGCAGCAGGAACAGGAACAGCCCCTACTCACAGATCCCAACGAGTCCTGCCCTGGGCAGCAGGAACAGGAACAGCCCCTACTCACAGATCCCAACGAGTCCTGCCCTGGGCAGCAGCAGGAACAGGAACAGCCCCTACTCACAGATCCCAACGAGTCCTGCCCTGGGCAGCAGCAGGAACAGGAACAGCCCCTACTCACAGATCCCAACAAGTCCTGCCCTGGGCAGCAGGAACAGGAACAGCCCCTACTCACAGATCCCAGCGAGTCCTGCCCTGGGCAGCAGCAGGAACAGGAACAGCCCCTACTCACAGATCCCAGCGAGTCCTGCCCTGGGCAGCAGCAGGAACAGGAACAGCCCCTACTCACAGATCCCAACGAGTCCTGCCCTGGGCAGCAGGAACAGGAACAGCCCCTACTCACAGATCCCAACGAGGACCGAGGGCGTGTGCTCCAGCCGCAGGTACAAGAGGAGATTGTAAAAATTGAAGCAGATCAGAGAGAAGCATAAGATGACAGAGATCCATTCTTGTAGTCTCTTTCCTGTTGGAAAGAACAAGAGAGAAAGCATGTTTTACTTTTATCTGAGAGGACAATGTGAAACCCGAAATAACAGACAGACCATTCCACTGCCTGGATGACTCCCTCCATTTGTCTGACAGGGAAGTGAAACAGAAACATATTTATCTATGGGAAGTGCACACATTTTCTTAAATGACATTCCTCTTCCCCAAGCCACTCCTACCCTCTGCCCTCTGCCCTTGTCCAATTAACAGGGCCAAATCAGACACCATCTCACACTGTCCTAGTTTCCCTCTCTCTGAGATTGCTGGCATAAAGTTCCTCCACGTCACATCTTTTCTCAATTTGCATTTCATCCAATATTCAGTGTTGCTGGAAGGGCTGAATCTGGGAACAAATTTCTGGCCTCAAACATATTTAAATCACCTTGTGATCTGTAATACTTACAAGCTCTGAGATTTTGAATAAAGCTGTCGTACTAACAGCAAAAAGCACTGTTCTCACCATTCTGGATTTTGGTGGCCCTGGAATGGCTTGTCTAACGTCACAAGTATTCCCCTGAAGCTTCTCCCTGAACTGTCTTGTCTGTGCCTTCCTGCTCCCAGGCTGGCAACTCTCAGCAACTCTGAGATGACAAGGGACAGAACAAGAAAAAAAGAACTGGCACAAATTCTCTCCTGCACCTCGCTGTGCCACTTCGTACCTCTGTGAAAAGATCATTTACCGCCTATAAAAAGGGAGCAGGCACATCAGAGCACGGTAACACTTGCACTGTCAGGTTAGCACAGAGGGCTGCCCTGCTCCTCACTGCTGCATCCCCACCAGGCACCGAGGCACAGCCCAGGGAACACTCAGGGTGAAACCTGCAGGATTAGGGCACAGAAACAGACCTTTAATACCCAGGGCCAAGAAGATCTGAGCTGTCAGCAGCAGGGCCTGGGCTGCAGGCAGCTCTTAATGCCCTGAGGAGCTGCCAGGCCAGTCCCTGCCTGCCCTGGGGCTCAGCCAGCACAGCCCCTCCTGCCCAGGGCTCCCGGAGCCTCACCCACAGCCCGTGCCCAGCCCCTGGGGCACAGCAGAGCCAGGCGAGCTCAGGGAGGGGCACACGCTGGCCCAGGAGCAGAGGAGCCTCACCCACAGCCCGTGCCCAGCCCCTGGGGCACAGCAGGGCAAGGCGGGCTCAGGAGGGCTCAGAGAGGGGCACACGCTGGCCCAGGAGCAGAGGAGCCTCACCCACAGCCCGTGCCCAGCCCCTGGGGCACAGCAGAGCCAGGCAGGCTCAGAGAGGGGCACACGCTGGCCCAGGAGCAGAGGAGCCTCATCCACAGCCCGTGCCCAGCCCCTGGGGCACAGCAGAGCCAGGCGAGCTCAGGGAGGGGCACACGCTGGCCCAGGAGCAGAGGCACGCTCAGGCCTGGCACGTGTTCAGCTCTGTCCTACTCCTCCTCTCTGCTGACCTAATGCCTGATCAGATTTCTCCTCCTAAATGCTAAATCAAGTCCTCCTTCTCACTGTACCACATAATGAGCAGGGAATGGAGGAACACGAATGCGGGATCAGTCTTATCGCCAACGTGCCTACAAGGCAATATTTGAAAGTGTGAACAGAGACTTTGACAGGTCAGTTTTAGACGTTCTAGAAGGGCCATGGGCATATAAATTAACACACTCTGCAGTAGCAGAGGAGAGAATAGTAAAATTAAATTAAGACACAAGAACAGCCATATTTGACAGCAGCATCAGGTCACAACGTGGGTGATTCTATAAAGAGGTCCCTGGAGTAATGAAAGTAAGAGTTAATTAACACTCACTTCCTTCATAAGAAAACCACGCCCTGATTAGAGGAGCTAAGTGGGTAGATCCTCATGGAACAATTAGCTGAGTGCTGGAAAGGAGGCTGGCAGCTCCCCCGGGCTCAGTGTGTGCAAACACCTCTGTAGTCTGAACACAGGGATCCAGCATGGCTGTCGAGATAGCCAGCTTCAAAAACGCAGCCTCAGCTCTGCGCTGGGAAGGCAAACCAAGGAACTGAGTCAGCGCTGATAACCTGTGTTTAAAATGCACTCAAACCCCAAAGCCTGTGAGGGAATGAACTGCCAAAGCCACAAAGTACGCGCTTCAAGAAATCAGGGAAATATTCCAGTCACGTTCACTCTGCACAATTCAACTCAAGCCCTGTTCTTATGGATTCAGAATTTGAACATGATACACTTCCACCGTAATACATATTCTGGCATTGCTTATGTAAATTATTTATGTAATTCCAGAAGAAACCTGCATGTCTAATACACCCTCAGCTCCCTGATATATCACTGTCCATGTGCCACAGCCAGCAAGAAGGGCAGCAAGCTCTTCAGGGAGGGAAAGCTTTCCCTGATGAGCCAGAGCAGTGGTTAAGCCAGTGAGAGCTTTTGTGTAAAGCACAGCAATCAGTCCCAGTGCCTGAAAGGTGTCACAAAGCACCTGCTCAAGGCAAGACTGTGGGGAGCAAAAGAAACTGAAACAGGCAGACATGCCCCAGTCACACAAACGAACAAAGGCCTTGGATTTCTTATCATCACAAGGCTCCGTGTGACTGAGATCACCTACTTGTGCAGGAATTGCTTGGGTGTGCGAGCTGGGCTCAGCTGATCTGTTGGGAACCACAAGACACTGAAAACACATTCCCTTCCCTAATTCTTCACCTGAGAATGGAGTCTCTAGGAATGGCAGGAATACCCAGCACTGCTCACACGGAGCAATACCCAGCACGGCTCACACTGAGCAGCGAGCTAAAAACAAATTATGGTTTTTTACAAGGAGTTTGCAATTATTTCCACAGCATAGTCAAACAGCCATTTACCGAGCACCCAAACGCCAAACTAGAGCTCGATGAGGAGTTCCAGGCTGCAGGAGGAGCGGAGCAGGGACTGAAGGATCCCCGTGCCGGCCGTGCGGTGCCAGGCCCGCAGCGCCCGGGGCAGCGGCTCCGAGGGCAGCGCTGGGCTCACCTCGTGCTGCGGCCACACCTGCGCTCGAGGGGAAGGTTCGCTCTGCCGGCCGGCCCCGAGGGCAGAACGTCCCTGCCGGGCAGTTTGTGGCCGCCAGCGCTGCCGCCCGCAGCCCGGCCCGAGCCGCGGCCCCGCTCCCGGCCCCGGGCCGCCAGCCCCGGCCCTTCCCGCTCTGCCTAGGCGCCCGGAGCCGGGCCGGGGACAGCCGGGCCCGAGGGGAGCCGGCCACGGGAGAACCGGGCCCGGCGAGAACGGGGCTCGAGGGGAAAGGGTCCTGGGGAGCGGCCGCGAGCACCCGGCCCGCGGGCCCCGCCCGTCCGCGCCGCCTCACCTGGCGAGTAGAGCTCGGCCAGCTCGCGGGCTCCGGCGTGTTGGGCGCCCCAGCGCCGCCCGCCGCCCTCGGTCTCCTCGGCGGGCTCGTCCCGCGGCGCGGCCGCCCCCGGGCCGCTCTCGGCCATGTCCGGCCGGGATGGGCGCGCAGGGCCCGCGGACCCGCCCGGCAGCGACGGGAACGGGCCGCGCTGCGGCGGGGGGCGGGCGCGCCGGGCCCCGCCCCCTGCGCCTCCCGCCAATCGCCGCCGCCGCCGCGCGCCCGCCCGGCCAATGAGCAGCGCCGCCCGACGCGCAGCAGCCAATGGCGCGGCGGCACGGCCGGCGGCGCAGTGCGGGGCGGGGGCGGCCGGGCCGGGCCGGGCGCGGGGCCGGGGAGGGGCCGGGGAGGAGCCGGGGCGGGACCGGGGGGAGCCGGGGCGGGACCGGGCGGGACGGGGCAGGGCAGGGTGGGGCGGCGGGCGCTGCCCGGTCCAGTCCGCGATGGGGGCGGAAACCGGCCCGGGGCGGGGCCGGGCGCTCCCGGGTGTTCCCGTTCGCACCGCCCCCTCCGCCCGGTGCCTCGCGCGCCCACTGCCGGTGCGGGGCGGTGTTCCCGCGGCAGCGCCCGCGCGTACCTGTGACCCGCCACAGCGGCGGCAATGCGGCCACGGTCGGTGCTTTGGTGACCCTGCCCGTGACCCGCCACAACGGCGGCAATGCGGCCAAGGTCGGTGCTTTGGTGACCCTGCCCGCTCCCCGACCTGCGGGCGAAGGCCCGCGCCGTGCTCCCGGTGCTGGGAAGCGGGAATGGTGACAGCGGGAATGGCCGCCGTTAACCGGGGTGCCGGGACAGCTCCGGCGGCTCCGCGGCCACACGTGCCCGTACGAATTGTGAGTGAGAGGAGGATGTAAGCGGCTGTGGCTGAGGCACGTTCCCAAGTCCCCTCCAAGGTGTGTTGGTGATCTTGGTTTGTCGAGGCCGAAGGGCTGCCGGGAGGAACAAGCACCGGCACGTTGCTACCGAAGTTTAGCTGTTAAACGTCCTTGGATAATGGCTCAGGATCGGCGGGACCAGAGCCGCACCTGTCCGTACGACGGCACGGCCCGACCGCCGGCCCGGCCTGGCACGGCCCGGCCCGGCACAGCACGGCACAGCACCGCCCGCTAGGTGGCGCTCAAAGCCTGCTGCAGGGCGCGGGGCGGGGATCGGGATCACGAACCGGATCGGGATCGGGGAAAGGCGGGGATCGGGACGCGCCCGGGGCGGGGCTCGGGGGTCTCCTTGCCGGTCCCCGCGCCCCGGACACGGCCCTGCCGCGCCTCAGCCCCGCCGGGACCGGACGGACCCGGACGGGACACGGAAAGCGCCCACGGCTGCGGAGCCGTTTGCCCGGAACCATCCCCGGACAGCGGTGCTTAGCGCGTTACACACCGAACCCTTCCCTGACCCCGCGCCGGGAGGCGGGAGCGGCACTGGTGCCACTGGTGCCCCACTGGTGCCTCACGGGTGCCACTGGTGCCGCTGGTGCCCCGCTGGTGCCACCCGGCCCCGTCCCGGCCGCATCCCCGGGCCGAGCGCAGCCCCGCGGGCGCTCGGCCCCGCACCTGCCCGCTCCGCCCGAGCCCCGGGGCACCGGGGAGCAGGAACCGGCTGCGGTTCCTCGCCGGACTCTCTCTGGCATGGGAAAGTGTCAGTGGGTGGCAGAGCTGGAGCAGCCGCTCCCACGGCTCCCGTCCCAAGGCGAGATGCAGAGGTGGGGAGGTGACGGGGGCCGAGGAGCGGCAGTGGAGGGAGGACAGGACGCCGTGCTCGCCCCGCCTGGCAGCCCGTCCGCACGGCCGGGTGACACAGAGCGGCCCCGCGGCTGTGCCAGCGCCAGCGCTCACAAACAACAAGCCCCAACCGATTCCTGGCAGCCCCACTTTCCCCGTGGTGCTCGACACAGGGTGAGAGCAGATGGAAAACAAGGATTTGTACAGTCTAGAGCACAGATTTCTAACGCTTTTAATAAAGAAAAAAATCTTCTATTTCTTCACCTAAGCCCCTTCTCCTGTCGCCCCTTCTCCTGTCACCCCCTCTCCGAGTTCCCTTGGTTTATGTTGCCCCTTGCCATACACCCCATGGAGTCCAAGCTGTCTGTCCCACAGCCTCAGGAACTCGGAGGAGTTCTCCTCTTTTAGAAATTTCCGAAGTGAATTACCAAGTTCTGTTACTAGGAACCTCTGACACTTCACAGGGTACCCTGGAAGAATAGAATTCATCTTCCCTTGATGGATCTTTTGAAAGCTTGGATACACTAGAGGTCACAAATGCATGATCCGTAACAAATTCATCAAAGCAGGAGGCTGCGATTACCCAGGAAATGTCAGGCAGCTACAGAGAACTTTTGGACAGTTAGTGGACAGCAGCTTCTCTGCCATTTTTATGGAGCACAAGGAAATGGGCTACTCGTAAAACTCAGAGTCACCTCTCAGAGTCCCTGCTCCGACTGACAGCCCACATCCTTCCAGCCAGCCCGCTCCAGCAGGGACTTTCTCTGCCATGCAGGACGGAGATGGTGGCTTTGCTTTGTCACTGTTCCCTTCCATGGGCCTTCGTGTGCTCTGACCCTTCCTCCTCTCTGTGTTTCTCAGAGCCACAGAGCGGGTGCTCTGACCTCGGACTTGCTCTGGAAAATTTTCCGTGGGGTGAGGGAGGGAATTTGGCCGATGTTGTCCCACCGGTGTCAGTCTCCAGGTGTCGTCTCCGCGCGGCCAGTAGGGCAAAGAGCAGCGAGGAGATAAAGGGGGTTGAGCAAGCAGCGCCGAAAGGCCGGGCCTGCCGGGCCAGAGGTGAGCACAGAATCAGCAAAGACCAACAGAAGCCGTGTGCCAGGCCGTCACACGGGAGCGGGGCGGGGGAGGCTCGGGGCAGGACTGCTCTGTAACAGCGGCAGCGAAGGCGGCCAGGAGACACGGCCTGCAGCCCCCTGGCACTGCCAGCTCAGCCCTCCTGGCACTGCCAGCGCAGCCCCCCTGGCACAGCCTGCAGGTCCCCCTGGCACTGCCAGCACAGCCACCCCTGGCACTGCCAGCTCAGCCCCCCTGGCACTGCCAGCGCAGCCCCCCTGGTACTGCCAGTGCAGCCACCCCGGCACTGCCAGCACAGCCCCCCCTGGCACTGCCAGCGCAGCCCCCCCGGTACTGCCAGCGCAGCCCCCCCTGGCACTGCCAGCACAGCCGCCCTGGCACTGCCAGTGCAGCCACCCCGGCACTGCCAGTGCAGCCACCCCGGCACTGCCAGCACAGCCCCCCCCGGTACTGCCAGCACAGCCCCCCCTGGCACTGCCAGCACAGCCCCCCTGGCACTGCCAGCGCAGCCACCCCGGCACTGCCAGTGCAGCCACCCTGGCACTGCCAGCACAGCCCCCCTGGCACTGCCAGCTCAGCCCCCCTGGCACTGCCAGCGCAGCCCTCCCTGGCACAGCCTGCAGGTCCCCCTGGCACTGCCAGCACAGCCCCCCCTGGCACTGCCAGCACAGCCACCCCGGCACTGCCAGCGCAGCCCCCCTGGCACAGCCTGCAGGTCCCCCTGGCACTGCCAGCGCAGCCACCCCGGCACTGCCAGCGCAGCCCCCCTGGCACAGCCTGCAGCCCCCTGGCACTGCCAGCTCAGCCCTCCTGGCACTGCCAGCGCAGCCCCCCCGGTACTGCCAGCGCAGCCCCCCTGGCACAGCCTGCAGGTCCCCCTGGCACTGCCAGCACAGCCGCCCTGGCACTGCCAGTGCAGCCACCCCGGCACTGCCAGCGCAGCCCCCCCGGTACTGCCAGCGCAGCCCCCCTGGCACTGCCAGCACAGCCACCCCTGGCACTGCCAGCGCAGCCGCCCGCTGCGGGCACCGTGTGCCAATCCCTCGTCAGGCCCAAACGCAGCCAAGGCTGAGCCTGGCCTGAGCTGGGGCAGGCAGAAGGAGAGCCAGCCTCTCTCGAGCTGACACGCTGTGCCTGTCTGACATTTAGTAAGGGCTGCTGTTTCACAGCACGGAACACAAGTGGAGAGCAATGGTTCCAAACCTGGGCTCTGCCAGGTACAGCTGGTGAGCTGCTCTTGGCATGTGGTGTGCAGCTGAATAGAGACCTGGGGCTGGGGAGAAGGGGAAAAAGGGCTCAACATGCTCAGAAATAAATTTCAATTTTACTTCTCTATTTCACAGCCTTTATTGCAACATTGCTCTTCTTAGGTCAGTGTTTTAGGCAAGGTCCCCTCCTGCCCCCAGAGCCCTTCCGTGCTTGCCGGCAGGGACTCTGCTCTGGGAGCGCTCCTGTTCTCCTCCAGCCACCTCCAACACTGCCCACGGCAGCTCAGGCCCTGCTGGCACTGCCCTGCTGCCCCGCTGCCCCTGCTCTGCCCCTCTGCCGCCCCAGCTGCAGCTCTGCAGGGTGGGTGAGCAGCTCCAGTGCCATGCAGCTCTGATCTCACTGACCTGCCAACAGCTACTGCCAGGGAAATCATAAATGGGACAAAGCCGAGCCAGAAACATCAGAAATGTCAGCCAGGCTCTTTCTGGGGTATGATCCTGGGTCCAGAGACCTTCTGATAAACACTTACTGCAGAGTGTGAGCCATCACCACTAAACTCACAGCATCTCCCCAAAGCTGGTGTCCTTCCAGAGGCAGCTGATGTAGACCTGCAGTGTGAACTGGAAAGCTTGCAAGAAATCCTGGAAAAAAAGACAATTTCCAGGAAGAAAATTCTTCTGCAATGCTTTACCGTAGGTCTGAGCCCAGAGCCGCAAAGTTGAGGCTTCTACAGTGCAGAGAGCAGAGTTTAATTTGTGACAGAGATGAGCAGTGAGGATGAGATTCTTCCCTCCACCTTTTCCCCACGCTGGCCTCCTCCTGTTCCCCTCCCCGTGTCTGGATTGTTTCACACATGAATGTAGAGGAACCTGGATGCTATTGCATCAGAATTTTTTCTCAAAAATGTTATATTCTTACTAAGTAATTTGGGACTTTTGCTGTCTCCTCCCTCAGCTGAATAGTTCTGGAAAAAAAAGAAATTATGAAATCGCTAGAAGGAAGGTGCTTTTCACAGAAGTGCTGCTCTTCTAATGGAAATTGCTCTGTTGGGAGACAGGCTGAAGGGCTGCTGCCAGTGCCTGGGTCCCTTTACCAGGAATGTCTGCATCTCCCAGCACAATTATTAGCAGCCTCTGCACATCTGGCAAGGCCAGCCAGGCACTCACTCGCAGGGACAGAGCCCTGTGTGCCCAGGCCTGGGCTCAGTCCTGTGCTGTGAGCCTCGTTCTGCACCTGTTCCCATTTCCAAACCCCTCTTCTGGCCGCGCATTTGTTGTGACAAGCACAGAAATAATTGAAAAGAGAGCAGAGTTAGCCCAAAACCTGCTCGCCGAACGCCGGGGCTGTGGAGCAGCGGTCAGTCCCGCCAACAAGGTTCCCATGAGAAGCTGAGAGCGGACGGCGGCTCCACGAGAGTGGATGCTGGGGTTTGAGGTGAGCTGGAGGAAGTTGAAAGAGATCCAGGTGGAGCAGGGAGGCGAGGGGGAGCAGGGCAGGAGGGGACCGGCCGGGCACCCAACCTGAATTACCGCCCGCTGACGCGAGCGGGATTACTCAGCACCGGCCGGGAGAGCAGGTGTGGGCCACGCCAGCCCGATAGCATCTCGTTCACATGACAGCTGCGCAGACTTTGTTTTGTTAGGGAAGATTAACCCCAGGCAGGAATACAACTTTTCTGCTGCAGAGCAGCACAGAATAGGGCAGAAATTTGAAGAGGGCAAACTCAGATCTCCAAAAACATCGTGAAAATCTGTCCAGGAATTTTAGCGAGCAGCTTGAAGTTTGACTTTAGCTTGAGGACCCCGGCGAGCTGGAGCCCTGCGGGGCAGTGCCAGGGCAGAGCAGCTGTGCCTGCAGCAGGTCCCCAGCCAGGAGGGCTCCTGCCCTGGGGCCCTGGCACCGTTCGGGGTAGGAAACACCAGGCTGATTCTCAAGAGTTCGGTTGGAAGGGCCAGCTGGGGCAGCCACTGGATGTAACTGCCAGATCAGAATGCAGGATAAAGGCACAGGATGAGGGAGTAAACAGCCAGAGGAACAAGCCCTGGCTCACTGCAACTTGCCAGTATTTGCACCCAATACAGATGTTTGTATTTATGAAGGCATGGGCTCCGACTACAACCTCCAGACCCGGCTCTCTGGCCAGGCCCAGCTCCAATTTAATCTCTAGCGCATTCACCAAAGATTAACTTGGTAGATAAAGATGGAACTAGAAATATTTGAAACCTGAAAACCTGTTAGGGAGCTTTTGTTATGGAAACAAACAAATAAATCCTATTAGAACGTGAAAAGAAAAATAGAAAAGAAAGAAAGAAAAAGTCTGATGATCCACTGACTGGTTCTTGAATTCTTCCTCTTTTCAGAGTTCTGAGGTTTGAACATTAAGAACAGTTGACTGTTTGAATCATATAATGCAATACCTGTTCCTCTGGCTTAACGTTACAATATTTCCCACACCGCAGGATTGCTTCACATTATTCTAAGAGGCAGTGTCATTTTCCCTGCAGTGCTAGGTCGTCTTTACTGAGGGAGGACACTCCTACTTCCTTTAATTATATGTTTTGTTTTAAATTAATGTCCTTTATTCTGGGCATGAATCATCAGCTTGTAGACAGGTAAATGTGGGAGTAAGAGAGTGAAAATATAAGTTTGATTCCCAAGGTGGGTGTCTTTAATTAAAACGGACATTGGGATTCAGTCTTCCTTCCCAAACTTACCCCGCAAATCTCAAAACTTTTGGATTCCACGTTCTGAGGCAGGAATCTCACTCTCCTCTGACCCCCATTCCGTCTCCTTTGGCCGCAGCGCCCGTTCCCTGTTCCCGGTTCCCGCGTGTGCCCGGACAGTTGCACCATCCCGTGCAAAGCAAATATGCCAAGACAAACGTTCGGGCCCCCGTGGGCGCTGGCAGCGCTGCCTCGGCCGGGCTGCGGCTGCTGGCGGCCGCCAGAGGAAGCCGGGCAGTGCCCCGCTCCTGCCCTGCACTGGGCAAAGCGGCCCCGGGCACGGCCCTCTGGAACCTCTGCTTGCCGGTGGGGTTCGCCAAAGCCAGCCCGGCACCAGAGTAACGGGATCCGCCTTTGGTTTGCAGCTTTGCCCCCGCTTTGCCAAGAGAACTTGGAGAAATCTTCCCTGCCTTGATTTCCCCTGGGGTGAAACGAGACCCAGAGCGCTCCGTGCCCAGCCCCGGGCACTGCCAGCCCCGGGCACTGCCTCGCTCTGCGGTGCCCGAGCGGGGCCCGGCCGGGCACGGGGCAGCAGCAGCAGCAGTGGCAGTGCCCGGCACGCGCTGTCCCCGTGTCCCCGTGTCCCCGTGTCCCCGTGTCCCTGGGGCTCAGCGCTGCCCGCTGCCCCCTGGCCAGCCCCAGCCCCAGTCCCGCACCTGCGGGCCCGCAGCCGCCCCTGCCTCCCTCCCTCTGTCCGTCCGTGCCCGGTTTGTTGTGGGCGGCCCGGCGGGCACGGCTCCCGCCCCGGGAGCCTCCTCCGGGGCCGGCACCGGCAGCGCCGAGCGTGCGGAGTGGCAGGCGGCCAGGCGGTGACGCGCCTGTTGCTATGGGATCCGCCGCCCCTATAAATAACTGAGCGAAGGAACTTTCCTAAGTCAGAGACTTTAGGACGCGGGACCCAGAACCAGATGGTCCGGAGGAGCCGCGCCAGCCCCCGCCGCAGCTGCCGGAGCGGTGAAGCCCCGGCGCGCCGCAGGGACTGAGCCAGCCCGGCCGGGCAGCGCCGCGGGGCCGTGCCCGGGCCCGAGACCGCGGCAGGGCCCGGAGCCCCCCGCCCCGCCGGCGGCAGCCTGACCCTCTGCCGGGGGGGGCCCCCCGCGTCCTTTCCTCCTCCCCGCATCCCCCTTTGCTTTCATGCAACGCCTGGTGGCCTGGGACGCAGCATGCCTCCCCATCCAGCCGCCCGCCTTTAAATCCATGGAAGTGGCTAATTTCTATTACGAGGCGGACTGTCTGGCTGCTCTCAACAAGCTGCACCCGCGGGCGGCCGGGGGCCGCTCCATGACCGAGCTCACCGTCGGGGACCACGAGCGAGCCATCGACTTCAGCCCGTACCTGGAGCCCCTGGCGTCGCAGCCGCCGCCTCCCGCGGCAGCAGCAGGGGGCAACTTTGAGCCTCCGTGCGGCAGCGGCGCCGGCCAAGATTTCCTTTCCGATCTCTTCGCCGAGGACTATAAAGGCAGCGGCGGCAGCAAGAAGCCCGACTACGCCTACATCAGCCTCGCCCGGCACAGCCACCCCTGCTCCAGCCAGAGCCACAAGCCGGGGGGGCTGCCGGGCTGCTTCCCGCCCCAGATCGTGGAAACCAAAGTGGAGCCGGTCTTCGAGACCCTGGACTCTTGCAAAGGGCCCCGTAAGGAAGAAGGGGGCGCGGGGCCGGGACCGGGGGGCATGTCCTCGCCCTACGGCAGCACCGTGCGCTCCTACCTGGGTTACCAGTCGGTGCCGAGCGGCAGCAGCGGGAACCTGTCCACCTCCTCCTCCTCCAGCCCCCCCGGCACCCCCAACCCCTCCGAGTCCTCCAAGTCCGCCGCCGCCGGCGGGGGCTACTCCGCCGCCCCGGCGGGCAAGAACAAGCCCAAGAAGTGCGTGGACAAGCACAGCGACGAGTACAAGCTCCGCCGGGAGAGGAACAACATCGCGGTGCGCAAGAGCCGCGACAAAGCCAAAATGCGCAACCTGGAGACGCAGCACAAAGTCTTGGAACTGACGGCCGAGAACGAGCGGCTGCAGAAGAAGGTGGAGCAGCTCTCCCGGGAGCTGAGCACCCTCAGGAACTTGTTCAAACAGCTGCCCGAGCCCCTGCTCGCCTCCTCGCCGCGCTGCTGACCGCCGGCCGGGGCGAGCGGAGCCGCGGGCCCCGCTCCGCGCTGCTGGGGCCGGGCCGGGGGGGAGAGCCCGCGGCGGGCGGGCGGGTTTGGTTTGCATTTGTGTTCTTGTTGTTGTTGGATTATTATTATTTTTTTTTTTTGTCTTTACCGACATGCTGGCGGAAGGCTCCGCCGCCGCGCGGGGTCGGAGCGGGGCCGGGGCTGCAGCGGGGCGGGCGCGCACGGACCCCGGCCCCGGCCCCGGCGGGCTCTGCTGGGCGCTGGGTTATTTAAAAGAGCCAGAGGAGAGCAAGGGCAAAGTGATGCAATCCTTTAAGCATGGCTGGGAATGCTGTGTACATGATGCAATCTCGTGTAACTGTCAGTCATGGATTGAGTAATCTGTTAAAGATGTTCCTACAGTTTTTTTTATTATAAAGAATAATCTATTTCTATAAGAAAATACATATGTATATTTTGGGATCTATGCATTCTTGCTACATTTGAAGCATTAATGAACAATTTTAATAAACTTTATGACTAGGTTAAAAAAAAGTAGCTTGTTTTATTTTGAAGGCATGTTTAAAGTTAGATTAAACACGGGGTTGAAATTTCAGCTGATTCTGGCTCAATGCTGAGGTCAGGGATAGGGATTTTTGTTGGTCTTTCAGCTTTCTCTGAGAGAAAGGAAAAAAAAAAACCAACCCAATAATCAAAAGCAAACCCCAAAACCCTCAAGAGAAACTCAGCAAAGAGCAGAGCTGGAAGCCTTAGCCGGTTCTTGTTGCCTCATTTTGTTTCCTTTAATCACCTGCTTTAGCTGCTGCTTGGGTGTTGTTTGGGGAGGAGGTGTTTGTGTTGGGTTTTTTTCTGCACTTCATGCTGTTTTGAACGTGTAGAGCAAGATGTGCTATCCAAACCATGACCAATCTTTGGCAAATAACGCCGAGTCTGAAGTGGGAGGGAGGAAGAAAAAGTAAGGGAGGAAGCCTGAAATGAGGTTTTGTTTGTGTTTGGTTTTTTTTTGGTTTTTTTTTTTTCTTTACAGAGTTTCTATTCCTTACGATTCAGCATTTCTTACGTTTGTAGTTTACAGGAATAAACATGAGAAAGTAGCATTTCTGTTGGATTTCGGTAATTTCGGGCATTGCTCAGGAAGCTCCCATGAGACCCAACCAGGTGAGAGGCTCATGAACCACCCCCTTCCCTTTGCTGGGAGATGTTCTCCTAGAAACTCCTGAGAGCTGCAGGCAGATCCTCTGATGAGAGGTGTTTGCTGGGGCGAGAGGCAGAGAGTGGGGGCGGCACAGGAGGACGAGGAGGAGGAGGAGGAGGAGGTTGTGGCAGCCTGGGCTCTGCTCTGGGGACACCCAGGGCTGTTCCTGCTGCTGGGACAGGCCAGCCTGGCCGGACCTGCTGGCTGCTGTTCCCTGGGTAAGGTCTGCAAGGAGTGAACAGACCCGGGCTGGTTACGTGGAGGGAGTTGGGCACAAGATCAGGTCTTAGTCGGCATTTTCCATTTTCCTGTTAGGCCAAATTTAAGCGTGAAGTTTTTCGATCCAGATTGCCAGTGCCTCGGGAAAGAAGCTCCTCTGCTGCTCTGACAGCTGAGCACAAAAGGGGTTTCAGTGCAAAGACAGTGGCCTTGAGTTTGTTCCTATACAGTCCGCACAAACAAACAGCCGGGGGCTGCAGGACAAATCTGAAACTTGTTGCTTATTTCCAGCGTCTCTTTAAGCAAAACATGTTTTCTGCTGAAAGAGCTGCTCTGCTTTTTTTGACTCTTAGGATCAGAGCGTCCTGCAGGTCCATCAGCTGGAGCCCTCCCTGGCCCTGGCTGCTCATTCCCTGCTTGCCCAGAGCTGTGTGAGCAGGGCAGGGTTGGCCCCACACAGACTGCCCCGTTTGCTCTTGCATTTGTACGGTGCAGTTCGGTTGTTCGGTTGTTTTTACGAGCCCCTAAAATAGATTTCTTGGGTGAGCTCGCTCCTGCAGCAGCGTGACTCAAGTTCTTGCAGGCAGGACAGACGTTAGATCTTGTCTTGGCTGTCCCTCGTGACGATGATTGCTCCAGCCTCCCCTGGCTGTTTATTCTACTCTTTGGATCATTACGAAACCCATCCACATCCTCAGATCCTATTCTCTTCTTCTGCTGGAGGCCACACAATGTCACCCAAACTCACACACGGTGCTCCCAGGCTGCAGAGCCCGGCGCTGCCCAAGGTGGAACTGCAGGAGGACTGGAGGTGTCCTCAGACACTTTTCTTTCTTTCTTTCTTTCTAAATAACAAAGTTTCCAGCAAGAGTTCGAAGGCAGGGTAGATTGGAAGATAAGATGTACTGGAGGTATTTATATCTGTTTAAACACGAGTCCAGTTTTGGAGACTGAGCTCTAGCAGGCATGAAGGAGCTAATCCCCATCCCCAAACCCTGCCTGCCCCGTGCAGGAGAGCCAGGGCGGCGTGGCTGCAATTCAAAGAACCATGTTTAGGTTACTGCTGTATTCCAAGGTATCTCTCAATTGGGATGGCAGATTTCTAGCTCGGGAGGAACCTTGTCCAGCAATGATTTTTTGTACAGACAAGAAAATTAAGCCGTAAACACACCAATTTTACAGTCGTCTCAGAAGGAATCCGTGAAAGACTTGGAAAGAGGATTCCCCAATCCTTCATTCTTAATTTTGTATTACCCTCATAACTTACATTGTAGGAGCTTTTTAGTGCCATTAAATGCATGGAGGCCATGAAATACTCTGCCCTCTAAAACAGCACATGAAAAAACCCGGGTAATTAAAACATTTCCTAGAAAATAATAGTCTGGAAAAAATAGCTTGTAAATGAATCTGAGAAAATTCCAAGCACTAAAGTAGACAAAAGGTTCCAAATACCTTTTCTAATTGCAGTGGGGGGATTGGAAAATCCCTGTCCAAACAGTGTCTCAGCTCCAAATATTGATTCAGTTTCCCATGACAAATAAGATTCTGCTGGCTGAGAGCAGGACTTGGAATGTCTCGGTTGGCCTCGGACAGGGCTTGCTGAGCTTCTCCTCCCGAAGCTGCTCAGGACAGCCCAGGGTAGGCAAACCATGCTGAGAACTCCAGGCACGGCCAGCTGCTCCCAGTTTTATCAAACTGATAACCAGCATTGCATTTGAGCTTTTTATTTGTGTTTTTATGTTTCTTTTCAAATGATGTATTAGCATCATTAATTTCTACACGTCTTATTGCTACTAAAACAACTGAGCTTTTTTACTGTAGAAGTCAGTCTGTAAATCCCTGGCACTGATATGCCCTTTCCAAAGCATTGGTTTATAAGGTGTTTGAATTCAGTCGTGCTTAGTTCTGCAAAACAAATCATATCTAGCAGTTGAAAAAATATATTTTAAAATACAACTATAATTTTGAAAGCAGCTCTTCAATTATCACTCTGTTATCTGCCCAAAGCAAGAGCAGCCCAGAGCAGTTCTGACACTGTGATGCTGCTTTCCCACTTTTCCCACTGCTTTCCATTGGTGACTCCTAGAAGATGCAGGAAAATTCTTGCATCTCTCTGTACTAACTGTTGCTCCTCTGTTGAATGAAATCATCCTGCTCCTCTGTCAAAGGGAAGTCATGCTGCTCGGGCACTGCAGCGCCCAGGGCTGGCAGGGCCCTCGTTCCCTAAAGTGCTGCATTTGATCTACTGGGAATTGGAAATTTTGTGATCATTTCCCCACCTGCTCAATGGTTCAAACGTTTCATTTTGAGTAAAAGGCTTTTCTCCCCTCCTACATGTGCTGGTGGATACATGTGGGAAACTATAGGGCTGGAATTCAAAATGAGGAGAAGTGGGTTAACACTTGCTTAAGATCATTGATTTGCATTTACAACAGGGACATATTTAATTCCAAACCTTCCAACGGGGTGCCACGATTTCACAAAGTAGTGCCAAATTTAATTCTCATTTATTATTAATTTTCCCCCCAAAATATATTTACTATAGAAGTTATTAATATAATAACAATAAATAATAATAAATTCCAATAAAAATTTGGAGCTAGTTAAAAATTAAGAAAGATTGTGATTTACATCTGGTTTTCACCTTGCCTGTCCTGTTGGCCCTTGTTTTTGGGATTCCTGTATCACACATTCCACAGCTATCACAGCACCTTCCTGGAGCTCAGGGTATTTAATCAGAGGTGTCTTTATGTCTCCCAGTTTCACACAATTTGCAGAATAAAGCCCTGGGAGCTGAGGCAGGGGATGCTGGCCCAGCCCCGGCCCTGGGGCTCCGTGCACCCCTCTGCAGGGGCAGGGCTCTGGCCAGGAGGGGCAGGAGGCTCCGTGCCCGGCCCCAGCCGCAGCCAGACTTGTTTGTTTGCTATAAATACCGGGCCTTTGCCAGCGGATTGCAACAGCAGTTATTGAGGCTGCGGTGAGCAGCTCGCTGGTGGTGCCTAGAAATGACAGTGACGGCAATCAGGACTCCAAACCACCAAGGCCCCGAGCCTCCCTCGCTGCCTTCCCTCCCCACCTGGGCATGGTGCTCTGGGATAGAATTCCTATAAGTGAGCAGAGGAGAAATGGACATGTGAGAGATGAATGTGATGGTGACACGATGGGAAAATATTTCAGAGCAACATGATGAAACAATTACTTGGCTGCAGCAATTCAGGAAGGGATCACAAGAAGTAGGGAAAGTGCCTGGAGCCGCTCTGCAGAGCACGAGGGTGGCTTCAGCACAAACAGAGTTTTGCTGCTTTCCCCAGCCCTGCCATCCACACACAGCTCGGGGTGGATGTTTCTGACAGGCATTCTGAGCCCAGGTGTCCTGAACAGTCACACACAGCTCCTGTCTCGATTGCAAAGCAGAGACCAAACCAAGAATGTAACTTACTGAGATATTTTAGCATGTCTGACACTTCGGTGTACCAGGAGCAGAATATCTGGGGGATAACTTGGCACAAGGAGATGAGGAGAATTACACAAAAAGGAGTCATTATCAAGGAGTTTGGTTGCTTAGAGGAATGCAGGCTGGCCCCTGGCCAAGAACACTCCAGTTGTGCGCACAAGGC